TAAACGAACTAATCAAAATTTTATTCTATATCTATCATATAAATTCAAATACTCATTACCTTCCCATGAGTTGTTGAAGTGATTTTCGATAACAATGACAATTATATTTTAAAAAATGACAAATGACTTTATGTGTTTACATTGAAGCACATTTTGTAATCCGCTACGGATCAAATAATGATTGTTAAATTTATATATAAATTGTTGATATTTGTAAAAAATTAGATTTTCAGTAAAATGGTAGTACAATAATAAAACGTTGGTAATTTTTAATTTATTTCACGTCTCTGGGAAACTTACATCGAATTCTCCACAAAACAAATACGCCATTTCTATACCACATTGTAGATTTAAAATCTTTAAAAAGCTGCTCCTATAAACTTAAATTTTATTTTCTCAAATTGACATTATTTTGGTCTCAATAGCCCCCCCCCCCCACTTGTCAGTTTTTGTCAAACTTTTCAGTACCCCCTCCCTCTCTATATTTACTGGCATCATTTATGGATGGCCCCTTATTTAGTAATTTCGAAAGAGCCAATAGAAAAATTCCACTCATAATACTTCATTTGTCTTCATCTTTTATTTGTCTCAATAATGAAATTTAAAAAATATTATTTAAACTCGACAACTTAATAATCTTTATTTCAGAATAAAAATGCTTATTTAACTCACCATAATTTTAGAATGATGAAAAGCCTTTCATTCTTATTTATCCATAGCAATAATAATCGTAATTTTTCAGGAAAAACCATAACTGTATTTATAATATAATATATAAAAATATAATAGTAACTTGATAACCAAATAAAATATATTTTACAATAAAGTGTACCTGATTTAAATTATTATAGAAATCTTGTCGTCAATTTTACGTTATTAAAATGTAAATCATTCAGCATTACTGTACAGATGTTAGAGATGACTTCGCATTGGTAATCTTCTTTATAAAAAATAAAAACAAGACAAAACCTAATCCAACAGAGCATTGAACTTTTTAATAGGTTTATGTATTTGTTTTGATTTCTAATTAGTATTCATTACATTTACTAAATGATTTTTTTTTTATTTGTATAAGTATGTCAACAGTATTGCAAAAGTTGTTTGCAGTAGTAGGAGACGCAAATTTGGTACAAAATACAAAAATATTTCAACAAATTATCCCGCCAAAAATTCCTGGATCACTCACTGAGCAAAAAGAGTTACATTTAATGTATTGTTGTCAGGAAGATCATTTCTGTAGATAAAAAAAAAAACAGGATTAAAGGTAATACCTCAAAAGTTGCTGGAAATGAAAAGAAAAAAATGGAAAAGAGTATTGGCCTCTTTAAGAATGATTTAATTAAAGCGGTACGAAAGAAACTATTTGCAAATCTCAAAAACCTTTTTCAAAATACACCATATGAAACAAGCTTATGGAGAAGGCCAATATGCCAAACTTTGTCGCAAGCTTTAGATATGTCAAGAACAAAAGCCTTAGCCTCTTCGCCTCCACTTAATGCACGATAGAATCTTTTAGTCACAGCAGTTAACAGCCGTTGAGCGGAAGAATCAAAAACTAAATTGGTTGTTTGAAAGTAAGTTATTTGACTTAAGATGGGATGTGCTAATAATAGAAAGAAGACTGATCGGACGATAGTTGGAGGGGTCAGAATGTTATACAGAATTTTTAAAAATTGGAACAACAGATGCCATTTTCCAGCAGACAGAAAAACAAGATTCAGTCAAGCATTTATTAAATAGCTTAGAGAAAATTAAAGAGAGTTCTGAAGAACAATTTTGTAAGACTATAACAGAAAGATATTCTGGACCACAAGCAGTAAAAGAGCATAATTGAGATATGACTTTAGCAAAAAAAGGTTGAGTGATTTGAATGTCAAACGATGGGTGAACTTGTTTAATTGAAATGAAGAAAGAGTATGTCCATAAGATTCAAAAGTTGAATTAGAAAAAAAGTTCTTTGCAAATAGCTCTGCCTTGGGAGAGCTATTTGCAAAGAGTAATAAAATCAATCCCACGAATGAGAGATGTAATGTCAGAGCTACTCTTGTTAATGACGCTGTTGAAGATTTTCTAAAAGACTCTGGAGCCTAACTTTCTCGATAAGATACGGGATTTTGTGAGCTGAGAGTAAAGAATTTTAGCATCAGACAGCATTGTCACATTAACTTTTTGGAATAATAAATAAGCGATTGTTCTCATAAGAGTTAAGAGTTTTTGACAAAGATGAAAAAAATGATTACAATTAGATTTGGCTGCATAAGGAGGTCAAAACCATGGAGTAGAATGAGACTTGATTTGGAACCAACAAGAAGAAATTTAAACTTCCATACCTGCCTAAATGCAGGAGATTATTTATGAGACACATTTATTAGCTAAGAGAGAAAAGACATTAGTCCAAGGACCGTCAAGAAATCACAAAAAGAATCCCAGTCAGCTTTAGGGTAGTAATAAGTAATGCAATTATAGGGTGAAAAAGTCCGTAGAAAAAGTACGAGATGAAAAGTTTATAAAGATCAATGCATGGTCAGAACAACCTAAAAGAGAAATAAGAGAAACTGAACACAACCGAGGGTTAGAGACAAGACACAAATCAGGGAGTGAAAGTAAATAACTAGGATTGACAGGAAAAAGATTCACAAAGTTAACTATCTGATTAAGAAGATGAGAAATGCAGAATTTATAAGCTTTAGTGCCAGCAGGGTCAGTGGCGTTTGAGCCATCAGTGTGATGAGCATTAAAGCCACCAATAACAACAATATTGGCACAGAAGGTATAAAGAAAGGGCATGATTTATTTGATTAGAAATTACATCTAAAAGAGTAATTTCTTAGGAAGAAGGGAAATGCTAAAGAACAAAGAGAAAAGTGGTGAATGAGGAAGGTGCATAGCGAAACCACATAAAAGAATGAATAAAGAATTCAAACCTGACTTCACAAAAAATTAGTGACTTTTTGCGTATGAGCAGCCGTGGCGCAGCAGTAGTCCACTTGCTTCAGAAACAAGGGATCCGTGGTTTAAACCCACCTTTGGGCAGGTTTTGCGACATCGTTTAGGAAGTAGGCGTGAACTTTCAATTAAATGCTCATCCGCGGTGCTCTGTGATAAGACCGTTAGGACTTCTTGAGGCACCTAAATAAATTAAAAAAAAAATGTATACCACCAAGCCAAGCATGTGACTATTAGAGTTTTTGCGAATCAAAGGATAGTTCTCATCAACACTGCGATCTGAAGAAAAACGGCGTAATTTAAATTATTATTACTAAGAGCAAGCAAGTCTGGTGAATTTTGCAAGAGGTAAGATTCAACTGATGGAAGGTTGCTTCGCAGACCATATTATATAGATAATATTTGTAAAAAATACATTTAAACAGTTATGTGGTTGGGATGGTTTTTTATTTTAAATATTTTGGGTTACTTTTGGCATTAAGAGAGATTGACTCATTTATTGATAAAAAACGGCGTCTGTCTCAGTCCTGTTAATGAACCCAAAGTCAAAACGTAGAGCTCCTTATGTGGTCTCAACAATACGCACCAAAGCACTACCAAACACACAATCCATTCGCAACATGACACTGTTAATACACTAATATTTTACAGCTGCTGATGGAACCAGCCTCTTTTCCTAGCTATGCATAAAAAGCAAACCCTACAAGGCAGCATAACATGGGGTAGGTAGTACCGGGGACATGATAAAAGTAACAAGGTGATTATGATTCTACTTAAGCCTTTAAGTCGATAAGACGTTTTTTTGTTCGAGCATTTTCTGGGATTTTTAATTTTTTCGTATTCTTTGTATTTTTTTTTCCATTTTTTATTTCTTATTCCATTTTTTATTTTTATTTTATTTTTCATTTTTTATTTCTAGCTATTACTTCTTTCTCTGCTATTGCTTCATCTTATTAGCTTAATAATTATTTTTCTACTTTTAAAAATTATAATATTATATTAACTATATTTGACGTGCCTGAAACACAGTTTTTGTTATAATTGCACACCACTATTTATATATGCCTATACTTATATTTTATTATATAACCTTTATTTATATATTATTATTATAAAAATAGTTACAACCAAGATTTTATTTATGCTTGAGTTCGCTTTTATTTTTACAGAGTTTTTATTATTATTATTTTTTTTGATCAGTTGTTTTTTTTCAAAGAGTTTTACTATATCTTCTATTTAACTTTCTTCTCTCGCAGTTTTTAATTTACTGCCAACAACAGCGTGTACATGATATTTTCTCTTTGCTCGCGAATATTTAAAAACATTAAATTTTAAAACAATTATATATTTTACTTTAAAATATAATTAGAGCAAGATTTTCCATTGTTCTTTGTAGCGTCATTGCATTAAGTTTCTTTGGAATTCCCTTCGATAAGAAGCAATTTAATAATTTAATTTAAATAAAAGCACACAATTTTGCATTAAAAAAAAAAAATTCAAAATTGTCACGGAGATTCTTTAAAGAATCTCCGTGACAACTTCATTAAAAAGGTCCTAACTCAGACTTTTTCTAATCACTTTTTTCAAATTTTAATTTCGGACGAAATAAAGTTTCTTTCGGGTCTAATTTAAACTATCATTTAGTTAAGTAAACAGCATAAGAAAAACTAATTCACGTGAGTATTTGTTAAAAAGTCAAAAAATATTTTTCTGTCTTCCCCTAAAATATTTCTGAGTTCGCCCATGATATAAATGATGCTTCAATTGCATTGTGAGAAATTGAAGGATCATGAATTTGCACTTAAATCGATAACGCTAAATGGTTTTATAGTTATTAATTATATGTAACATGTGGTATTATGGAGATATACATTATGATCTGGTGGCGGAGGGTGGGGGGCGCCAAGGATGGTGGCGCACCGGGATATATCCCGGTTTCCCGGTGGGCCAGTCCGCGCCTGCACACATACATACATACATACATACATACATACATACATACATACATACATACATACATACATACATACATACATACATACATACATACATACATACTCTATATACGGTCCTATACATACATACAAACCGTATATGCAAGAGTCAACGACAACGACGACATAAAATTATAACTAACTTTTTTGTTGCATTTCGCTTTTGTTCCTTGAAGGACTAAAGTAAGCGCGCTAAATCCCTAGAAATTACAAACAAAGATGGCTAATAAAATGCGATCAGTGTTTACCTCTGTAAGTGATACCTTCTTCCCTGGATCTAAATCAATAATTGATGGGGGAAAAGAAAAAAGTATAATGACGGGTACGTAGTTAATTTGTTTATCATTTATTTTAAATGGGATACTCACTTGATTTGCTAAAGGAAAACACTAATATTTAAAAATATCTTTTATGAAAATAAAGCAAATAATCCTGGAATGACACACATGTGTGTCATTCCATGAATGTAAAGGTAAGAAGTAGTTAAAAAGATTTATTAGTAGAATTACTCTTTTTAACTTCTATACTTACTTCTATCTTACCGTATTTTTACCTAAAAGTAAACCTTTTAGGTAGAAATATGGAGTGACTTTAAGAACAGATTTTTGAACATAAGGATAAGATCTAATTTTAAGGTGTTCGGAAGGAGTTCCAAGATAGGATTCTCTGGTATGTAAAAGAATTAATCCCATGTTTACTTGTCTGTTTTAGTGGGATATTTAAGTTACTGTAAGCGACTGATCTTAGGTTATGCCCACATGTTGTTCTATTAATAAAGTAGTTGTGAAATATAGTAGGAAGAACACTATATTGTTGAACCCAGACGAATGAGCAATTTAGAAACTAAATTAGCTCATAGAAGCCAAGAATTTTGGATGTAAGATATAGGATGTCAGTAAGAAAATTTCTTGGACAGAAATGAATAATTCGTACTGCTCTGTTTTGAAGTAAAACAACTCTAGAGAGATGGTTTTAAATTGACCCAAACTTGATATGCATGTCATAAATGTGAGCCAAAAATTTAGTGTAATATATATTTTAATGTATTGTGTAATATATAATTTAATGTAATGTCATTGGATGAATAATGTTATTTCCAATGGATCACTGAGGAATACTGATGGAAACGTTTTATTTGATTTAGTACCATTAAAAGTTACAAACTGTTGACAATTAGAAAGGTATGACTTAAAGTTACAAACTGGTGACAATTAGAAAGGTGTGTAACGTAATCCATAATAGTTAAGCTCAAAAGCAAAACCTCACAAGCAAAGTTACCATTTTCAAGAGCAATTCTTATACTTTTTGTAATTTTGATGAGAGCGCAAGCTGTAGAATCATTTTTACAAAAACCAAACTTGTGTTTATATAAGCATTGGTTTTGCTTTAGAAAGTTGTTTTTCGCTTGCATTAGAATGAAGAGATATTATGCAATAGTTAGAGCAGTCTATCGTAGATTCTTTTTTGTGGATTGGAATATTTTAAGCTAGCCTAAAGACATCAAGAAATGTTCCTTTGCAAAATAAATTGTTTAAATTGGTACCAAGTGGTTTACATAGAGTTTCTGACACCAGTTTAAGATGTTTTGTTGGAAGACTGTTCGACCTAACACTCTTCCCTTCTATAATAGTGGAATTTTTTATAGTTAAGAGTTTCCTCTTCAGTTATTGGTTGCATATGAAAAGAGTTACAATTAAGGATTGGTCAGATACTCTTGTTAGTTAAATTTAGAAATCAGAATTCTGTTGAATAGTTTTCAAGCAATTATGGTAAAAAAAAGTTATTAAAATGGTTTTAGTATTAGTTTCGCATTTGTTGTTTATGAGTACAAACTTGTAAGCTTGTTAGGGAATTACTCTTATTATGTTTAATCAACTCTTTTATACCTTTCCAGGTGTTTATTATGCTATTAAGGTTGTGACTACAAAAATTTGTGTTTTTCTTTTCGCTTTAGAAGATTGCTTTAATAATTTTTTAAAAATTTAAATTAAATTTTTAAAAAATTTATTGTACTTTATTGTACAGTTTTTTGGTTTTAAATATTTTTATGAAGTTTATTTTTAATTATTATTATCCATTATTATAATTTGCTATTTGATTTTTTGTTAGTTTTTTATAGGTAGCATGTTTGTTCGAAATATAATCAAAAATTTCCATTAATTTTTAAATGGAATTATTAACATCATTGCTGTCTTTTATATGGTCATTCCATTTAACATTTGAAATTTCTTGGATAAATTCAGCTTTTCTAAAGTTTTTAAACCAACTCCTAACAATAAGTTCAGGTGAAGTTTGGGTTTTGGTATGTGAAATTATAATAATAATACTAATTAGAGATTAAAGTGCCATTATTTACAACAATCACAATAGTGATGAAGTAATTCAGAAGCACTAAACAAGTAAACTATGAGTCTGAAAAAGATTTCATAAAAAGTTCATATTTTAGTCTTTTTTTGAATGCTTCTATAGAAGTTGAGTTTTGTGTGTTCAAAGATAAACAATTCCAAATTCGAGGTGCAGTCATACAAAAAGATTTTGAGCCCAGGGAGGTTTTTTGTTGGCAATGTGTAAGTTGGCAATCGTCTAAAGATCTTGTATTTTGTTTTGAAGTTCGGAGTTCTAGGAGTTCAAATAAATATGCAGAAGAATTTGATGATAAAATTTTATATGTGATAACTGATATTTTATAGATAATTCTTTGATGTATTGGTAACCAATGAAGAGATTTCAGCAATATTTCTGATTTTAAATAGAAAGGAGAATGGAAAACAATACGAGATAAGTTATTTTGAATTCGTTGGAGTTTTTTAAGATTTTTTTGATAAGTGCCAGATAAAATGCTGTTACGATAGTCAAGCTGAGAGTTAACGATGCCACAAGCATTTATGTTTGCAGCTTCTTTGGTCAGACATAGACGAATGTGGTAAAGTGCACGAATGTAGTAATTGCAGGATATAATAATATTGTTTATGTGTTTGTCCATAGAGAGCTTTGAATATAGGATGACTCCAAGGATTTTTACTGAATTTATTGTAGTTATTGTGGTTCCAGAAAATGCAATATTTGACTCATTTTTATATTTGCTAGTTAGTTTTCTAGATCCATTTTCTAGAAACCATGTTGTTACTGCGTTAGCACACTCAGTGATTTTGTTGATGCTATCTTTGCCAGGGCTGAGGAAAGTATAAAGTTGGGTATCATCAGCATATTGATGATGATTTGTACCAAATTAAGCTATAATACGATATATAGGTGAAACAAACATGGAAAATAGAAATATGCCTAATACACTACCCTGTGGTACTCCTGTTAAACTTGCTATTAGTCTAGAATTTGATGATCCAATAGAAACAAAAGATTTTCGAGAGTGCAAGTATGACATTAGCCATTTTAATGCAATATCTGTGACAACAAATTCATTCTTAATACGGTTAATCAGCAGGCTGTGATTGATTGTATCAAACGCTGAAGATATGTCCAGAGATAGGAGAATAGTGGTCAAAACATTACCGATTTTTAGCAGGATGTCATTGCATATCTTTAAGAGTGCTGTTTTGGTTGAGTGATAAGATCTAAAACCAGATTGTAGAAGATTAAAGTTGACAGATAATGTTACGTGTGGATGAAAACTAGATAAAGCAAGCTTTTTTAATCATTTTCAAAATTGTATTGAGATTTGTATTATGTAGATTTGTTAGGTCAAATTCTGCTAGTCCTGATTTTTTGGGAATTGGTGTTATTTAAGCAACTTTATATGAGGCTGGGAAAATTCCGGATTTGAATGAGAGGTCAACAAGGTAAGCTATAATTGGACTGAATATTTCTGAACAAGATTTAAGGATGTTTGTTGGAATAATATAAAGTGGCGATGTCTTAGGTTTGAGAGTTTTGATTATTTTCGACACATCTGTAGTTGTGACTGTACCAAATATTGTTAATGTATCTACAGGGGGAGCAGGGTTCCCACACCTCCTTAAAAACCTTAAATATCCTTAAAAAATAAAAACCTCCTTAAATGTTCTTAAATAACCTTAAAAAAAGTTAAAATTTGACTGCTCTCCTTAATTTCTCCTTATTTTTTTTTTTATTAATTATCTAGAAAATATTTTTAAAGTGAATGGATTATCCTTGTTAATAAAGAAGATAAAATATAGATTTTTGATAGTTTTCAAACCTATTTTTATTATATATATATATATATATATATATATATATATATATATATATATATATATATATATATATATATATATATATATATATATATATATATATATATATATATATATATATTAATATTTATATATATATAAAGTAATAATAATTTCTTTGTTTATATTTAAAACTTATTGAAAAAATAAGATTATGTTTTTAATGTAATCATTTTCCCCTTATTTATCCTTACTTTTTCTTTCAAAAAAATGTCGCTCGCGACCAAATCTCCTTAAATAACAGGAAAATATCTCCTTAAATCTCCTTAAAATCCTTAATTTTAGCTTTAGTTTTAATAGTGGGAACCCTGGGGAGATAAATCTGAGATAGATTAAGATATTGGGGTTTTTGCAAGCCTTTCCTGGATAGTGTTCTTTATAATTTAGAGTTGGCTTATAATTATTGACTTATTAAATCGCATTTTGCTTCTGGTATTGTGTTTTATTAGTTTTAGAACTATTCGAATGTAGTAATTACTTGGCAATGTTCCATGTTTCTTTTTGATATTCATATGCTGAATTTAGTTTTGCCTTATAATAACTACATCTGGATTTGTGAATTGCTGCTGCAGCCTCACGGCATGCAGTTCGATATAATTTTTTATCTAATAAACTACCATTTTTTCTATAACAACGCTCCAGTTTATGACGTCTAACTTTTATATTCTTGGCATCTGAAGATAACCATTTATCATCATGTTTAACAATTCGTATTGAATATTTTCGAATGGGTGCTAAATGATCAAGAACAGTTGTTATACTTATATTTGTTCATCATAATCATCCACGTTGTTTTCAGGTGATAAGCAACATGCCATCACTTACAATTCTTTTATAAAGCATGACAAGTTTAGTTTTTTTAAAGTTTCGTTTTGAAAACCAAATAGTTTTAGTATTTAAAGGTTGATGATAGAGTTCTACCCGAATCGTATAGTGATCTGAAATACCTTCATCAGTTACTAGGATACTCTTGAGTGAAATATCATCATGTCAATTTATTACAAGATCAAGCAAGTTGGCTATACCAGTAGTAGATGATATGCGAGTTGTAGATTGAACTTGTTGTATTATGTTGTAGCTCTCTAAAATCTCAGTAAGTCTTGAATTGCAG